AGTAATTTGATTCACTTGATTCAAGTGCCAAGTGTAATAATTTGATTCACTTGATTCAAGTGTTAAGTGTAGTAATTTGATTCACTTGATTCAAGTGCCAAGTGTAGTAATTTGATTCACTTGATTCAAGTGTCAAGTGTAGTAATTTGATTAATTTGATTCAAGTTCCAAGTGTAGTAATTTTATTTTATTCAGTTTGGTTCAAGTGCCAAGTGTAATAATTTGATTCACTTGATTCAAGTGTTAAGTGTAGTAATTTGATTCACTTGATTCAAGTGTTAAGTGTAGTAATTTGATTCACTTGATTCAAGTGCCAAGTGTAGTAATTTGATTAATTTGATTCAAGTTCCAAGTGTAGTAATTTTATTCAGTTTGGTTCAAGTGCCAAGTGTAATAATTTGATTCAGTTTGATTCAAGTGCCAAGTGCAATAATTTGATTCAGTTTGATTCAAGTGCCAAGTGTAGTAATTTGATTCAGTTTGATTCAAGTGCCAAGTGTAGTAATTTTATTCAGTTTGATTCAAGTGCCAAGTGTAGTAATTTTATTCAGTTTGATTCAAGTGCCAAGTGCAATAATTTGATTCAGTTTGATTCAAGTGCCAAGTGTAGTGATTTGATTCGAGTGCTATTTATACCACATTGTAAATAAGTTTTACATATAGTAGGTTAAAGGTACACTTAGCAACATTTGTCGACAAAAATAGCTGCTTGTTGATCCATGTATGGCCATGTATAATACATTGGCTACTGAAAACCTCCATAGATGTCAGCAGATGTCATGATGTCAGCAGATGATGTTATTAATATAAATGTCATTGTATGATCTTAATTATTGTATTGCAGAGTAGAAATGATTATTGGACATTCCATGGGTGGCCATCTAGCGGCATTGGTCGCCGCAACTGATAATAACAACATCATCAAGTCAGTTTGTTTCCTTGCTGGGCCTGGTGTCACACCACATTACTATCCGTTCAACAGCACGTAGGTTTCTTGTCTTGTATGTTTACCAGAAATTGTTTTAATAGCCATTTTACACACTACAGCAATCATATTTTGGTCTAAAACAAAAATGAGAGGTAACACCTCACATGTAATGATATCAGTAACAACAATATTTTTTTTTAATGATTTGTCCACGATGTTATATTTGAATGAAAGATAGTTATGCAGGCTTGTGCAATAACTCTTTGTAGAACCAGCTTCTTCATGAATAAGGCGCTGTTGGCAATTCATTATTGTTAAGTTGGACATTAATAAATTGTCCACTAGATGTGAGACGTACATCATGTACGAGGTGCAACTTAACATGTATTATTATACATCTGGCCGTACCGCCATAAGTTACAGTGTGTCGTAATTTTGCGGTATTTTACGGGGTAATTTCATCATACCATATTAGGAAATGCAAATTCCAAATATGGAATAATTACGTGCCTAAGCATCCTGTAATAATAAAAATGAACATGGCTGCCACCAGAGTTTGACCAGACTCCACACAAAGAAGTTCGCTGATTCCGTTCTAAAAATTTAGGATTTTGGCATTCCAATGGTGCATCTTTAGAAGGAAAAGATGTACTGCACTCAGACAGTACGCAGCGCATCAACCTCTGTTGCGCTCCAGTTGATACTCCAGCTGTACTGTCTTCATGCATACTTTGAGGTATCCTTATAATAATCTCATATTATGTGTTACCACCAAATTTGAGTTCTTTTATGAAACAGAATGGAATGTATAACCTGCAGCTTTGGAATGTATACAACTGTGAAATAACGTACAATTGTTAAATTATTATATTATTATATAACATGATTTATTTTGTATTTATCGAAGGAATATTACACTATCTCCTTATTTATTGTGTTTCGTTAACTCAACATACATCCTAGCTCATGACGTCACTCGTATAAACTGGCTCTAAGGATAA